GGTGGGGGGGGGGGGGGGGGGGGGGAGTATTGTGCCTGTTTGTGCCAAGACCTCAGATTGCCTTAATACAGCCCTGATTAAGATGGGTGGTGATTGATGGTCTGAGTACATTGAGTGTGAGGAGTTCAGAACAATTTTATTTTTGTTAGATAAAAAATTATTGGAGTTTGAAAGAGGGCACCAGGCCTACTCCAGATGAATAACCATCTCAAGATAGATATTAAAAATAAGCAGAATAAATAAGGAATGAGGGGTGGAAAAGGGTAGATCAGCAAAGAAATCTGTCTCTCAGAAGTCAAAGGTGGTAGGATAAAGTAAGAATTGCCAGAAGTCATGCTGAGTTAAACTTTGGAACGTATGTAAAAAAGATGGCTCTTCAACTAGATACTTAACTATTGTGACAGGGCCAGATTCCCAGGCCTGGTCCCAATACTGGCCCACCACCTGTCTATGGGCAAACCATCCGCCTACCTCCTCTGCCATGCCTTGTTGTTAAATAAGTTCATAGATGGTACTAGGTGGTAGGCTGCCCTTTGTGTGCCCTGATGTCAGGGGCGGTTCTTGCATGACTCTGACCTTCCCTTATCATGTCCCATGGCTTGCATATGACATACAGTTCATTACAGCTCTGGCATGTGCTGCACCAAACTTAATGCGTTGTTAGGTCTCTTGCACACGGCCCTATTCAGGGCCACACTCACTCCACCCCGCTCTAACTAGGGCCTCTAACACTCTGCCTGCTCTCACCAGACCTCTCTCACACTACCCTGTTTCTGGGTCAAATTCACGCTGCCTTGCTCCCTTTGAGTGACCACATAGGCCATCAGGCTTAACTCTCTATTCCTTGGCCATCCTTGGCACAGCCTTTTGGGTCTCTCCCATGACCCTCATCTGCATGTTGGCTGGGCAGTTAGCCAAACTCCAGGATGACTCTGCCCCTAGCCCCTAACTGGGCCACTCCACCCCTTCCTTGGGCCAACACTCTGCCCCCCACGCTGGGGCCCCGGGGTCTTACACCTCTGTAGGCTCAGGTCCCTCTCTCTAGGCATCCCTGGCCTCTACTCCACCCTCTCACTAGGGCCTGGGGTCTTGCACCTCCTTTGGGCTCAGGTGCTTCTCTGTAAGCATGCCTGGCCACACCTCCTGGGTCTTACACCCTTATGGGCTCAGGTGCCTCTCAGTAGGTGTGCCTATCCCCCACCCCTGGCCTCACAATAACCCACCAGATGGTGGGGGCTGGGGGTAAGGCACCCCTACCCGCTTTTCACTGGGGAGGTAACTGGCCTGGCATTTCTTGAGGACTCCCTCACCACAGGGAGTCCCACCAGGCCACCGTTCCTCAGCAGGGTGCAGTTTCAGGTCATGCCCAGGACCAAGAACCTCTTGCCATCCCCATAGCTCCTGTCCTTCCCTCCAAGATGTTCCAGGAGTAGCAGCTCAGTCAGGCATTGTTACTCCCTTGGCGGCCAGCAGTTGGGCTCTAAAATGGCCGCCCTCATTAGGCACCTGCCGGCTGCCTGCTTCCAGCCCTTAAAATGACAGACACCTAAAAGGTGCCCTGTCACACTATATACATAAAAAGAGAACAGCAAGAATGGGAAACTAAGAAATCGGGGCATGGCTGAAGAACTAAATATATCCTTTGCTTCGGGTTTCAGTAAGGATGATGGTATCAATCATGGGGGCATGAGCAAGATTCATAATGAAAATGAGGAATAGGAATAGTTACCACAACTGAGGTAGAAGCAAAACTCAGACGTTCAATGGACTCAAATTAGTGAGCAGGGTGTGGATAATCTTGAATTTAGAATTCTGAAGAAAGTGGAAAGTGAAATGACAGGATCAGTAGCTGGTTGTCTTTAAGACATCTGCAAGTCTGGGGTGATTTCACATGATTGGAGAATAGCAAATATTGTCCCTATATTGAAGAAGGAGGGGAGGATCAGTTAGTTTGATCTCTGTGTATCTAAGGTTTTAGAACAAATTTTCAAGGAAAAAGTTAATTATATCTGAATGAGAGAGAAATAAAATGCAGCCCGGGCTAACCAATCTAGATTATGTCAGATTTATATTTCACTGATAAGGGAACTGATTTATCTAGACAAAAGGAAGATTGTAGTAAGCCATTTCAACTTCAGTAAAGCAACTGAATACTATGTCACACAGGAAATCTGGGGAAGCTGGTGGAGATGGGTATTCAAGGAATTATAATGTGTTAAAGAACTGTCTCAGAGGGAGAAAGTAAAAGATGGCATTGAAAGGCGAAGTATCAGGCTAATGAAAGATTACTAGTGGAGTTCCTCAAGAATCAGTCTTGGGACTAGTCTTACTTACTATTTTCATTAATGACCATGGCACCAAATATAGCAGTTTGCCAAGAAAATTCACTGATGATGCAAATCTAGAAAGTGGCATTGGTTCAGAGGAAGAATAAGATATACATAAAGAACTGAACAACCTTGAGACTAGAATAATAACAATGAGATGAAATTCAGTAGGACATAATTGCATACACTTGGGGACTAAGGTCATACACTGGTGGACTAATAGCCAAAATTTCTGCCCTCAGCTTGGAGCTTGGGAACAATTGAGGAAAACTGGCCTGGTACTACTAATTGATCACAGGATGACTATGAGCTGCCAGTGAGATTTCATGTTGTATCAGCTGGGAAATATTCTGGAGAGAGAGGGAAGTATTAAGGCCATTTTATAATACAGTGGTGAGCCCTCACTGGAATATTGCGTGCAGTTCTGTTTGCCCACGAACAAAATGAACTGAAACTGGAGCATTTGCAGATAAAGTCTACTAGGATGATCAAGAGAATGGAGAACCTATTATATGAGAGGAAGCTAGAAGAGCTCGGCTTGTTTAGGAAGCAAAGGCTGACAAATGATGCAGTTGCTCCCAATGTATTTATAGGCAGCAAACACAAGGGAGGCTGAAGAATCAGTAAAGACAATGTGGGTATGAGAATAAATTGGAATAAAATGTATTCACATTTAGGCTGAAAACTGGGTTTCTAACTGTTAGAATAGTGAGGTTCTGGAATAGCCTACCATTGCTCTGGCATTGGGTTAAAAAATAACTACCTTCAAGATGAATTTTAGTAAATTTATTAAAGGGATTACATGATGTGTTGGCTTCAGTAGCATGGACTTGATGACCAAGGACGTTCTTTTCAGTCTTATATTCATGGAAATTAATTTATTGAAATTCTGTACATGATATTAAGTAAGAACATTGGCTAGGTGTTTGATAAATATAAGTAGGTGTGGCAGGATTAAATTTTTATTGCAATGAAATGGATGTTTCAGACCAACAGAGAGAATAGTTCCATTCGTAATATTTGAAATTTATAGAAAGGAGACTATAACAGGGAACTTTTACCCGTGTTAATGGACAGTGGGAAAAGAGAGAAGAAGAGACAGAGGGTGGAGGGGTTAAAAAGGAAAACAATAGGGGCCTAATTACTCATCAGTTAAGCAATTAGCTGCTCCTTCTGGCCTAATGACTCATCTGTCCTAATGACTCATCAATTAAGCAATTAGCTGCTCCTTCACAGATGTGGGAAACAGGCCTGAGGAAGATAACAGGCTTTTTAAACAAATGCCTACCCAAAGCCCAGAGGGGGAAGAGTATACCAGGCCTCCAGGGGGGCGGGCCACAGTCTTTTCCCCTGTTCCCACAACTCTAGAAGTACAGCTTCCCTCCTCTTCTGGTCCCAGCCTGCCCAGCTTTTTCCTGATGAATGTACAGAATGATTTAAACCATGTATGATTTATTGATTTATGTGTATTTATTTTTTGTATATTTTGATGTGATTTTATAAAACTTTTAAAAGTATACTCTCATTACTAAATTGTTTGCCCCCCACACTGCTAATTTTCCCTAATCCTGAAACTTTAAATAGATACAAATTGAAATAAATACTCAAAAATAAATATGGGAGATAAAAATCTGAAGTTAGAAACCGTTATAATGGTGTCAGGGCAAATTAATGGAAGTAGCATTGCAAATGAAGATGAGGCAAAATGGGTGCCAGCACAGTTCAACAATGTGAAAACAGAATTTTAACTCAAATAGAGTACGCTGTGTGTGACCAGCTGAATTACTTCTCTTACTACAGTCTTGTCATGCTGCTTCTTTTCATTCTTTAAACCTTTCCTAACCACAGTTTGTTAAAACATTCATCACACAGTAATATTAGCATTGAGACAGATTATATTTATTATTTTTGCACATCTCCTTTGCGTCTTTAGAGTTTAATTTGTGTGTAAATTTAAATGTTATGAAACAGATGGTTAATTTTACACCTACTCTCTTTATAATGTTTTCTTGCTGCCTACTTGGGCTGCCAGTCAGCACCCGCCCTCAGCAGGTCTGTATTAAGGCAATCTGAGGTCTTGGTGTAAACACACACAAACTAGAGAAAATTTTACCAAATAATGCAAAGTCTGAGAAACAGCAGTTGGAGAAGAGGTTAGATGTATGATGTTCTTTAAAAGCATAGATATTCCTGTATAGTGAGGCACACTGACTTTCTTGCAGTTATACAAATAGCCAAGTCTTTCTGCAGTGTATTTTTCCCCTTGTGCTTTTTCCAGAAAAAAAATCTTTTAAAATTTTGATGAAATAAACCGTTTAGTATATATACACTGTTCTGTATTATTTCCCTCAGTGTTTTGCGTGATTAATCAGTAGGGACATTTGTATAAAAACAGGATTTTATGAGATGAGCAGTTTCTGATTCTTATTTCCCCACAAATACCATAAACCTGTGTTTATGACCATTGCATTGTAAAATTCCTAGCACACTTTTGGAAACTGGATAATTAATAAATACTATTTCTCCATTGAAAACTGTGTCCTACATACAAATATTATATACTTAAAAAAAATAATTCTGAATTGTATTTTTAAGGCCCAGTTTTAGAAGTTTGGAACATTACTCCTTGGGATGTCTAAAACTGTATTAGATTTCCATTTTTTCCCTAACGTATTTTGCACCTTGTACAATTCAGGCTCCTTAAAACATGGCTTTTTTCTATTGGTAAAATGTTTGCTTCCTACCTTTTCTATTTAAATGTGCTTTGTGGCGAGCAAGATATAGAGAAAGCAAATGGATTCATGGAATGAGGAATGTGCAGTAAAATGAAAAACAGTTTTCCTTCTGTATGCATAGCACACTGTGATGTGTTCACATTCTTATAGTGATTGTCAGATGGTAGAAACAACTTGGTATGTGTAAATTCTCTTTGAATTTTGGTAGAAATTAGTCCATCTGGACAATAAAGTTGTCAGTGCAAAAATAGAAAGCTGAAAATATTCCAGCATAAATCATATCATTCAGTTTGCTGCTGCTTTCCTTTTTTTTAAAGGAGTTGGTCTTAAGATTGCTATACAGTTTAGTTTTTAACACTTGATCTTATGGATATATGTAGGTTATTTGTATTTTGAAAAGAAGACCTGCTAAAGAAGTGAGGCCCTCTCTTTTTTTTTTCTTTTTGTATAGTTGATTTACCTTACCAGCATAAATTACATTTAGTGCCTAATGTAATCTTTCATATAATCTTTCTGGATATGTGTTTTTTCTCAAAGCTGAGGTCTCACTAAATATACGTTTCTTAGACTTTTTGTGTATTAATTCCTTGCATAATTAACAATGAGAATTAACTAACTACAAAAGGGAGTCTGTATAAATAACTTGTGTGGACCCTGCATAACTGGACTATTAAATGTGTAATAAATACATTTAAGTAGTTTATAGTTTAAATTCACTGGAAATATACTAATATTTGAACTTATAAAATGGAATAAAACAGGGGCATACGTTTAAAAAAAGCCTGTTTTAGCTGATTGTGGAAGTTAATGGTTTTTTTATTATTTATTTAGATAACTAATATTGGGAAACTGAAAGATTTTCTTCTGCAACATAGAAAAGACTACATTAATGCTTACAGGTAAGTTTGTATTGCATATTTTAAATCTTTATTTCCAGATGCATAAAGTAGAAAGTCTGTTTACACAGTTGCCTTTTAATAATAAAATATACCACTTCCTCGTGGTGTTGGGCCCCAGCAGGCCCAGGATAAAAAAAAAATTACTACTACTAAGTAGTTGGTTGATAGTCTGAGCAGAGACACAAACTCCTACCATCCCTCCAGTTCATTATCAGATTCTGTGAAGGGAATTCCAGAGCTGAGGAACCTTCCTGAGAACAGGAGACCATAACCTCCGTATTTCTTTGCTTTCTTATATTGCAAACTTGAAATGTCAAATCTGGTTGTTTGAACTTATGGGCAGAACAGCTTTGATTCTTCCTTTAAATTGAAGTAAGAAACAGTTGAAGTTCTTGAATTTAATTACTAGCTAAGCACCCAGAAAACAGGATTCTTGCCTGCTTCAACCCTCTTTACTTACGAGATTGGACCTGTGAGGAGAAGATGAGGGATGATATAACATGCAAATTTGGGTTGATCTAATAAAAGATATCAAATTCACCCAAGGAACCTTGTCTGCCTAACATGCAAATTTTACATTTTTGATATTTTGGTAAGTCAGGCCAAGACCTGCAAATTTAATACTGTTGCAGATTGATATGTATTTGTACTGTGTATGCAACAGTCTACTTTATAGAAGACTGGTTTGGAAAGTGTTGAATTAGGATCTCCAATATGTCTACATTACCACTGTAATCAGAAGTTAAAATGTTCAATTAAGCTGATTGATGGTTAGTTATATATATTTAGTTAATTTCTTCTTAAAGAAAGTGATTAATGGTGCACTGATTTTTTAAGACTGTAAACAACATTTTTTCTCTGTAACCACAGTTTTGTCTGGATTTGAGTTGCCTCCTGTTCATATCCTGATTTTGGCAGGAGTCAAGATAAACTAATCAGACAGGATGGTAATACAGAGATTTAAAGATCAAGTTACTGAAACTTTTCACTCCCAAGCCATCTTCTTTCTCTTTCCCCAAAGGATATTAGGATAGTATGCTTCAGGATTCCACCTAAGAAAATTCTAGGGGTAGATGAACCATCCTCCAGGGTTGTTTTCAGAGCCTTTCTGTAAAGGAGGAACAGAGCCTCAAAAATTACTCCTCCATGCAAGGATTGATGACTCTTTTGTAATACTTCATGATCATTGTTATATCAAAATATGTTCCAGAGTGAACTGTCAAGTGATTCCTAACACTATTTCACACAGATTTGGGGAGCAAATGTTTAATTTGCACAAAAAGGGCATTTTGTCTAACTTCTACAAATCGGAACCATGACTGCTCAACACCTCTAAAAATCAAGCTTAGCTATATATCTTGACTTAACCCAAATTCATATAGAGTAATTCTCTTTCTAAAACAAGAAGCAAACCAATCTGGTGGTTAGCTTTCACTACTTTGTAATCTTAAATGGAATAGTGAATGACCAACACTAGGTGGTGCTGTAAATTTAATACAAAAAAAGGAGGCCTTTTATAGCGTGAATGTTGTTAAGTGAGTGGATTCAACAGTGGACTTGCTAGAATGCTAAAATAACAGAGTTCTGTCAATAAAAAATGGGTGCACACTGACCCTTAGGTGATTTAACTATTCTGGCTACAGTTAACTTTAAGTACTGTATCCTACTAACATTGAAAGCGGGGGAAAAAGCAAAATAATGAACAGAGTAAAAAGCCAGTTAATTTTACTTTGGCTTCCCAAATTATCTTTACTTTTGGAAATGTGCTTTTGTGCAACTACTTGCATCAGTAATTCCCAATGAATTTCCACAGACTCTAGCAGTACCTTAAAGCGGACTGTGGTTTTCTTCCTCTAGCAATAGACAAACATCATCCTCTTGCTCCTGGTATTCTCATCTCTGATGCCAATAAATCTTGTCTTTAAAGTTCAAATTTACAAATGATCAAATTCCATAATAGGGTACTATATTTGTCAGGAATTGCCTTAAGTGTAGAAAGAGATTTCCAATACATCCCAGTTGGCACGTCTATATGAGACACTTTACTGCACAGTAGAGCTAAATACTGCACATATGTGTCCGTGTCTACATGTGCAGATGCTTGCTGTGTAATAATTGGCTCTAATTGCGAGTAGATTTGCTACCTGCAAATGCAAGTAGCAAATTTACTCAAAGTAACTGCATGTAGACACCTGACCAGGAGCACAGCTCCTGGTCAACCAGGCACCAGGGGGCAAGAGATTGCTCCCTACCCCCAGCAGCTGCCTGCTGCCTGGGCGGGCTCTGCCACTGGAGCACAGGCAGAGGCAATGTCCTCTGCAGAGAACTCCCAGCCCCTACTCCATGGTCACAGGGCCGGAGCTTGGAGATCCTTCTCTCCCAGTGCTGGCCCTGTGACCATGGAGCTGTTCCTGGGAGATAAGGATCTCTCAGCCCTGGGGTGTGACCAGGGGACTCAGGCTGGGAGATGAGGATCTCCTGGCACCAGACCTGCAACTGTGGAGCTGGTGCTGGGAGATAAGGATCTCCTAGCCCTGTGACCACGAGGCTTGAGCTGAGAGATAAGGATCTTCCCACACCAGCCCTGTGACCACACAGAAGGCACTGGGAGATAAGGATCTCTCAGGCCAATGATTGCGGAGCTGGGGCTGGGAGCTTCCTGGCCGGGCTCCATTGCACCCTGGCAGCAGGCAGTTTCTGGGGGCAATGTCCCAGACCCCTCCAGGAGACAGCTCTCTTCTAGGCCCTGGGCTAGCACCCAGAATGAGCTTAGAGCTTTTCCTGGATGCTACAGGGGCCAGTTGCAGGGCCACAGGGAGCAGGAGAAGTCTGCTGCCAGGAGCAACAAGTCTTCTCCCACATCCCAGCACGTGTGGACACATGCCTGGGAGTGTTTACTCCCAAGTAGTTTACTCGAGAGTAAATTGTTCCCAGATCTTTTGCATGTGTAGACGCACCCAGCATCATATGAATACATGCAAATCTTTCTTTATTGCCAAGAGGAGCAAGGAACATGCTCATTTGAAGGTCTGTGGCTGTAGTATTCTCAATTTGTCCTCTAACAAACATTTAACAAGGACATGATTCATAAAATACAAAAAGCATTGGTTGGTAGGGTGTCAGGATCTGATCTTGACTTCACAGAGTAGAGGCTCAGAGGGCCACAACTCATGGAGAAAGGTGGAGTGGCAGGGGAAGGGTCTCCTGCTGCTGGCCCCTGATTAGCCTGGGGCTCCTGACTGCTATATAAGGCTTCCTATGTCCTGTGGAAGCTGTCTGAATAACAAGGTTCTTGCTGCCTTCAGACTTTTCTGTTAGCCCCCTGGCTTCTATATGCTGATTGCAGATCTAGCTATCCGCTGCTGATCCTGCCTGGGCTTTGACCTCTGCCTCTGTCTCATGTCTCAGGCTCTTTGGAACTCAGTTCTCCCAGATTCCTGACCTTGTCCTGCCTGTTGTTTCTGCTTTGGTTTGCACTCTGACCTTCTGGCTTTGACACAGCTATCCCTCAGCACTCTGGCCAGCTCAGATTAGCCACTAGGCGTACCATCAAATGCCTCAGTGTGCAACATAGGGAGTGTATGAAGTGCAAGTAATTCATCTCCTTTCTGGAGCCCTTTAATAAGCAATAGCAGGTAACATTAAATGAAGCATTGTTGTCCCTATTGATCTGTCTGGGGAATAAAAAAAGGGACCGGATACCTTAAAAATTGTTTTGCTTTAAACTATTGAACTTTCAAATTCTTTTCTTTTCTTTTCTCACTTTAATCCCTGTATTTTTCAAAGCAGTTATTAAAGAGTTGGTTCTAAAGGACCCTTAGGCTGTCATAAGCCTGATCAGTGCTTCCTGTTATATATTAGCTAGGCAACAGGTATCCCTTTTGGCATGGTGTTTTTATTGCAGATTAACAGAAAAAGCAGTTTATCAGAATGTAGTTCTTGGTCACCTGCTCCTGCTTGACGTGTCATTCGGCTTCCCTTTTGATCTTTGGATCTGGTACGGTTTACCCTCTGGCTTGTATTGTTTGGAAAAGGTAAAATTTGGCAATTAATTGTGGCCTTCCATATCCAAGATGGGTAGGATTATAGGAAAATAGGCCTGGAAGGGACCCTCATAAAGTCATCTTATCTAGCCCCCTGCTCAAGGCAGGATCATCCCTGATTAAACCATCCCAGCCAAGGACAATCTGTTCTTGAAAGTTTCCCAAGTTGAAGATTCCCCAACTTCTCTAAGTAGCCTCATCTACTGCCTAACCATTCTCATGGTCAAAAAAAAATCATCCTAATCTCCAACCTAAATTTGCCCAGTTGCAGCTTGAGGCCATTGCTCCTAGTCCTGTTGCCTACAGCCACAGAGAAAAACCCATCTCCATCATCTCTATAATTGTCCTTCAGCTATTTGAAAATTGTTATCAAAACTCTCCTCAACTTTTCTTCTCAAGGCTAAGTAGCCCTAGTTCTTTCAGCCTTTGCTCATAAGTCTTATCTCCCAGGCCCTAGCTTTTGTTGTCCTGTGCTGAACTCTTCCCAAGCTGTCCACGTTCTTCTTGAAGTGTGGAACCCAATGAATAGACAGTTAATATTTGGGAGGTGCTATCCAAATGCCTTCATTATTTTTAAATGCTTGCTAATACCTGGCTTCTTGTTTACCTCAGAGATTTGTTCATTAATAATTTACTCTCCTGAAGCATTAAACTTTAGATTGACATTCAGAGAGCTTGTGCTAGTTTATTTTTGTTAGGTGCAAAATACATTTTAATAGTGATAAGAAAAATTAACAGAAAGCAAGACTTCCCAAAAACATAGTTTACCTGAATTTAATGTATTCATTTTTAATTTATGCTTGAATGTTACAAAGGGGTTTTATACCCTTAACCAATACAGATAATGCCAGATATTTGAATAGTGATATCTGTTAAATGTCAAATAACTGTTATTGCAAAGATGTGCCTTTAGACTTTTTCCACTAAATAGAATTCAGTTAATCTGCAGGTGTAATG